ATTACTGATGAAAAGTGATGCATAATTGAAGTATTCCTGTTGACTGACTTTGAATTTATGATGATTATAATTACTTATACGATTCTCTGGAAAACATTTCTGTGTCCTCGGTAGTATAATGGCAAGTATTCCCGCCTGTCACGCGGGCGATCCGGGTTCGATTCCCGGCCGGGGAGTGTTTTTCTATGATATAATTAAATTTCAGTTTAATCAAACATTTAAGAATAAGCTTTACCTTCGCCATGAGCAATGATCTCAAATTTACAACTTCAATAAATGATTAAGTTACAATTTGACAAGTCCGGAAAAATGAACTATACCGTTGAAAAAGGTAAAATCGGTATGAAGTTCCTAGGCATGTTACTGAAGAATAAAGTAGTTAAAAATGGAAATTAGCTTAGGATTTTGCAGTTTATCAAGAGTGGCAAACTTTCAGGAGATTGCTACCCAAAGTCTTGTTCTGAAATTCGTTTTTGACAAAATCGTCAATTACATGAGACTTAAGTACCTTAGAGTTTGCATGACTGATTCTGAATACTTAGCAAAAATTGAACATCCAGAAAATTTCTTATGTCAATTAAGCTACTATGAATAAATATTTAAAATAAATGAAGTAACTCGTTTCTAAAATTAAAAATAAGCCAAACAATAAAAAATTCCTGGGCAGTTATCGCTTTTATTCTTCAATTCTCTAATAAAATCTAACCATATCTGGAGAATGAATGATTTTGAAATTACTGCAAAATTAGCGATTTTTTGTGATTGTAGAAACGTAAAATTTCATCAACCGGAGAGAACGAAACATTGTACATACAGTGGCAAGATCTGCATGTGCAAATCTTTAAGGTTATTGGGCAAAAGTTTCACAGAACATCTAGCAGCTCTAAAGAATCGAAAGCTGGGCATTCTGGCATCCTCACCAACGCTTTCTACTTAGCATACGCCTACACTTTCTACTCAGTCTGACAAATATGTCATTTCCGTTGATAAAAAGAGAACAAACACTGAAATATTAATCAAATAATCGTTAAATATATTCGCTGAAAAAGCCGACTGTGTAATGAACATAGGAGCTTGGAAAGTTTGAGTGGAAACTGTCAGTTTGTCCGAAAGAAATGACGAAACAAAAGTTGTTGTCACTCAAAATTCATTCATCATTTTCGCCGTATTATTTCTCTAATATGACTCTGATTCAGACGCTGAAGTGCGACGTCTATAAGTGTCGGTGCGTAAAAGAAATTATATCGACCATTTTAAATTACTGCTTTGAATCGTCGATTATTAATCGTTATCCAGGCAAACAATGAATCGATACTTCCTTGCACAGGCATAAAGATTTAATTTGTTTTCACCTTTGCAAATTACCATGCCGCGTTGTAGATGAGTGCGAATTTAATACCATAAAATGTACCTGAGGGACAGCAAAAAAGTAGTTCTTGTGCAATGTCGAATTTGTATTCGACTCTCTGGTCGAATGAGCTCCGATCGTCATCTAGCAGTAGGCATTCGGATGGGTTCACCTACCAATATATTCTGATAACGAAGTCGATTCGATGAGCAGTTATCATATACATATGTATATATCGAATTTAATTTTAACCGAAAATCAGACTTTTCAACGAAATTAGGCAGCTGAGGCCGAAAGGTACAGCGTTCTTCGCAAATTTAAAATGATATTCGTTCCGCAGCCACATATTATCACCGTGTCATTCAATCTCTGCAAAAGAACTTTCCATGATGTAAAAGACTCAACTTACCGAGAAACAGGTACTGCTTCTCCGGAGGCCAACCACCGTACTGGAACATGCGAATCAGATCGTTATACTGTCCATGAACATCGCCGCAAATGACGATTGGCGCTTCCAGTTCGAGCATTGTTGGTTCGTTTTTGAGTATGCGAATCGCACGCTTGAGGATATACCTGATTTCCGACTCGGTCAAGAAACCTTTCCGCCGTGGGGTATGCAGCTTAATGACCAGTTGCCGTAAGCGACTTTCCTGGTTCGCTTCTCCTTCAATCTCAGTTTGGCCGTTAGCCATGTCAACAGCCTGCTTACCCAGTTCCAGATTTGTTCCACCATGCGGGTCCTCTTCGAAGTCGTTCTTCCTGGCCTCTTTTTCGGTACCGTTCTTCTTAAAGTGCCTTGACTTCCTTTCTTTCCCTCCTTTGGCGCAATTTCTTTTCACATTTAAATAAGATTCGTTCATTCCGTTTTTGATCGCTTTTCCGTTCTTAGCTCCACATTTATAACTACGTTTCCCAAAGCATGCCGTTATTGACAACAGCCCATATAACAACAGGCGACGTATTCACTGCTGCGTGGTCGAATAGTTTGTTTTGCTTTAAAATGCACTTATGCTAAGCACTTTAAAATGGCAAATGTTTTAAACTTTTTGATCATGGTAAGTGGAGGCGGTTTAATCCTAATTGGAACCATTTTATGAAGGCCACAAGCTGCTATATGTTGAGCCCCTCCTAAAAATGTCAATATAGTGTTCCCTCGCTCAGTGGCCCTGCGAACGTATTAAAGAAATGGAAAGAAAGATGGTCATCGCCAGAATTTTGTCTCTGATCAACGGTCATTAGCTGTCTCTCACACTGAAACGCCCGTGTAACTAGAGTAACTCTAAACGCAGCTGCTTGAGATTCATCACTCGCTTTATTGCTCGGTATGGCCATGGACCTCGTTGTTCATGCCTTCTGGACTTGACGTATGCTCCCATGTTGTCTTTCATTCACAGCACTGATATTCAGTTATCATCAGCCGTTTTCGATCTATTATTGGATGATGATTGATGATCTCTCCAAGAAATTTCTGTAGATTCTGCCTTCTACCATGATTTACACAGCACAGTTCTTTAATTAAAGAAAACAACCAAAATAATGCTGAAATCAGCTAATATCATTATGTAATCATATAATCGTACAAAACCGAAATGGATTCTCTAAATTGATGCGTCATGCCGACTACCCCTTAGACAGAGGATGAGAACTGAAATCATAAATCTCTATCAAAGGTCATATGCGAAACTAGACTCATTTTCTATACCGTCGGCGTGGAGTTCTTTATTTTGGACTAAAGGTCGCTCTGTTATGACCGCAGTATGACAGCATGCTGTGTCTGTTGTTCACATCTAATGGATTCTATACACATTTTTCGGTTAGTGGCACCAAGAGACAGGTCAGCGAATTCCGTGCTCAACGTGGCCGGTCAATAAGAACAGCTGATGCGGTGCTTGGATTTCAACCCGCACCTCGAAACTATAATATGGACAGAACTTCCCGTTGTTCGACACCGTTTCTGTCAGTAATTCTAGTCTGTCTACTTAACACCATGAAAGGCAAGTCATTTTACTCTGGAAGATAAGCAGCTGGACACGAAGGGCCATCACAAGGACCACACAAACAGATGGAAGAAGATCTTTAGCTTCCATAATCGGTAATCCTTTCGAGTCGCAGAGAGAGTCGCGACAGCCAGAGCTTCCAACGTTCCCGTTCCTGTGCCAGAGTCTGAGCTTCGACAGAAGACAACTGGAGTCTGAAACAGACTCCTTCCATATATTTGCGCCAGGTTAATCTTGGCGGTCCACTGGGCCTTATGCTACTCGGCTTCGCAACAAACAATTGCATAGCATTCCTTTCACATGCCCAAACCATCGCAGCTGTGACTTCTCGGTCTGGAGAAGCAGAGGCTGTACACCAAGGCTTTCACGGATGTCTGCATTTTGGACCATGTCAAGACTCGTCTCAGAAAGCCCATTTCAGCCTTTTGTAGCCGGGATCGAAGCTTCCGATTTATGGTCCACCCACCCACACCACGCCTCATGACCGTATGTAAGTATGGGGATAAAGATCGACCTGAACACCGAGAGCAGTGTCTTCAGACTTGGCTGTGCTTTCGTCACAGTTGTTCAGACTAGTTCACGCAGATCGCCACTGGCTACTCCAATTCGCCGATCGACCATTTCCTCAAATTTTTCATCACTAGTGAATGCAACTCCGAGGTACCTGAACTTTTCTAGCTGCTCCACTGCTTCTCCGTTTTTTCCAGTAGAGAGCACAGATCGCAATGAGCAGGTTGTGATCGCCGACTTTTCGGAGCCGGACTCAGTCCCCTGACAGCCTACACGGCCCCTTGTAACCTAAGCGACAACCGAGCCGATATAATTTTCGATGACGTCAATACCATGAAGGTCATGTGACTAAGTTTTACGCAGATTTCGCCACCGTCTACAACCTTCCTCCATTCTCAACCGGGTTTGGGACAGGCATCGGCGGAGCTACATGTAAAGAAAATGGGTCAGATGGAAGAAAAGATTATACAAATTTTCAGATAAGCTGTTTAAACTCAATGCAACGTAATGATTTACAGCTTCAGTACAGTGTTCAGTGAATAATAAAAAATTTTATTGTCTCTTTGGCCGGGTACGGTATTATTTGTCCTTCTTTGATAAAGATGATTCAAATAATCTTGTTTATGTTTCGCGATACTATCACTCCGGTACTCTTGCATTCCGAAACTTCCATAAATCATCGTCGATTCAAGAAAAATTGTACGGTGGGAAAATTTTTTTGGCTTTAAATTGAATACGTGACGCCTCTGTCTTGTCGTCTGGGATTGTAGCAAGGAGGTTCTTCAAGGCAAATCTGGCGTAAAGTATGACAAAGTTTCTCAAATCCTGAGTCATAGATCCAGTCGACCATTTAACAGTTTATATCAAGTTTCCAGGCAACCGACGTGGCTAAAGAGATTAGGTGGGACGATTCTTTGTCCTTGCATTGGAAGCTTACTTGGACCATCTCTTGCTTAGAGCATTAAAAACAGGGATTGAGTTTTAAAGAAAAACCTGCCAGTTGAAACAACCATTTCGCGAAATTGGATTCGACTTTAAAATAGTCTACAGAAGTCCTCTTTACGACGGCCTTTGCCGGTGCAGTTCACAGTTTACATATTGCCTTTTTGTTGTGACTCGTCTTTCATTTCCATATTTATGTTATCATTTATTAATGAATAATAAAAATGGAGCAGAGCTTTACCAGCAAAGTTCAGAAGCATCCAAAATCACAAATGAAGATTGATAAAAATTTGGCAAAAGTTTAAATGAACTTCGTTTGATTTTTAAATATGCTGTTTTTAATAGTGGTTATTCATTTTCAAACATTTTCAGACGTGATCAAAGATGTTTCATAATTTCTTTCGAAGTGTATAATTTATCTGTCAATTGTACAAAATTACAACTACTCTCATATCCATCAGTTTCGTTTATCTGACGCCAAACTTTGGAAGCCTTTCTTCACTACTGTGCATTGGATTTGAGCCACTTCACGATAGGGCCAAAATATTTGTTCATCCAGTTCACGTTGCTCCTGGCCGCTTCCAGCTGTTGCTTGAATGTCGAAGTACCGGTCTTTAGATCAGGATACTGCTTGAAAAACATTTTCATCTAAATCAAAATTATTAATAGACATTTAAGGTGATTCTTTCTTTATGCTAAGGGTACAGGAAAAAGAGGACAGAGAAAGGAGGAACTGTCACCAGTAAATCTCGTATTTAAAGCAAGAATATACAGCGTTCCACAAAAGATTTAACATTTTTAGGAATCAACATGCCCAGCGATACTATCGTGAATCATTTGGTAAGAGTTTGGTAAAATGAGAATCACGGAATCCTGTTGAAGACAATCCATTTGATGGCTAGTAGGGTCATGTCAAGAACAGTTGTTCATCTAACGGTCACTGCGAGGTTGTTTTCTGGCCATCAGTTGTGCTGCCATATATCTTCCAAAAGGGGTGCTGGGAAATAATATGAAGAATAGGACGATTTCTGTGAATACAATCAATTGCGAGCAGACTTCCTCTTCCCACGAATGCATTTCAGGATAGACCGTTATATTCACGACTCTAAGTTTATTTGTGATCTATAAGATAAAGCATTTGCTAATGAAAGGATGGGTATTTGAGTAAATCGGTCTCTTTTTGAAAGAGACGCACGCTGGAATCATGTCAACTGTCAAAGTCAAATCAGAGCTGTCTGAGAGATTTCCTATTAACCGTTGAGTTGGCCAGAAAGAAATTCCTTCGCCTTTGTCCTTCAACATAGTCTCAATTTTCTTCTTTGAAATAGTGCTGACTCTGGTAAAAACGAAGATCTCATTCTACACGAAAAGTGCAGGTCAGGATATGCGGCTAAATATCTTGCTATCCTGGAGCATGTGGATGATATTGTCAAGTGAGTAGTATGAGTACAGAGTCAACTCTGATACTAGATGACTTCCGCCTGCAATACAACTACAACATCCGGCCTTTCCTTTAACGCCCTTAAGTTTAAAGTTATGAGGTGAGGAAGCCATCCTGCGCAGCTGATCTGCAAGTGGAGCAGGAACGTGAAGCGCTAAAGGAAGTTGACCAGTTTCGGCATCTCGGCATCTCCAGTGATTGCACCATCTACTGGAGATGCGGATCTCGCCGATGACCGATGACCAACCACACTTGCCTGCTTCAATTGGTAGTCCGTGTTGAAGTTCACCGTCACGGCTTCGATGATGCTTTTCATGTTCGCGTAATTTTCTCCATGTCTATAAAGAAGAGATGGCGAGGATCATTTTCACTAAAGAGCAACGAACATCTGAAGCGTGGTGTTGATGTTTGAAACGAAAAAACTCCACATCAGTTCGTGTGCCAGCGGGTTCTTCGCCAGGTTTCTGAACAACGTTTTCACGTCTTGCATGCGAATGATCGAATTCGGATTGTTCGACTCTTCCAGCAATCTAAATGACGCGTGATTTTCACAACTGCACCCGTTTTTCACAGTTGAAACTCACGTCGCGCTGACTCACGGAAAGAGTCTTAGCCCCTGATTTCATGGTCTGCGAGCAAAGCTCTCAGAAGAAGTAATTTGCAAATGAGGAATAGCAAGGGAAAAAGCAGAGGCAAGCGGCAGAGATGAGATTCAATGCCAGCGTAACTGCTTCATTGCTGCAACATCTGAGAGCGAAGCTGCAGAAGTGAGTTCGAAAGATTGGAATGCGGCTGATATTCAGATCCAGAAAAGATTACAGATGCAGATGAAGCGTGTCATAACCAGAAAGACTAGATCTGCACAAAGCCTTGTAACAGCAGTCTCAGTCACGCATGAGGAATTGGTAACATAATACTAGGGAGTAAGAAAGAACACCTGAGCACCCTGACGAGACAGTGCAACGCGGAT